ACTCGCTCGGGAACCACCTCTCGCCCGGCAGCTCCGGGCACACTGGCGGCGGCCCAACACAAACCAACCTTCCTGCGGGGAGCCGACTCGGCCCCAGACGCGAGGCCGAAGGCTCTCTGGCACACGTCAGGATCGATCTGGGTCGAGCTGGACCTCGCCTCCACTGACCCGTCGACGACGGCGTTGGTAAGCATGGCCCCAGGCGGTGCCGAGGTCGCTACACGTGCAAATCAAGTGTCAACGCCCGCCATATGCGAATGGACATACTTTACCTTGAAGGATCCCGCCCTGGGAAGTGACAGCGCGAACGGCTCGTGCCAGAGGCCTGCACGCTCGAGCTTGAAACAGTGGTGCTTGCCGTTGGCCAAGGCTCGGACATGATTGACGTGGTCACTGCAAACAGGCAAGTCCGAGGATGGGTCCACAGCCATAACGCTCTCCACAACCGCCAAAAAATCAGCCGACGAATTTTGCCGAGGGCTGTCGACCAGCCCCGAGCACTCAAGACGCGCGAAACACAAGACACCCGCCGAAGAAGGGGGCTCTTGCCCCACTTGCCACCAAATCCGTCAGCCCCACAACGCCTCCAGGAATCAGCCTCCCGCGTGCCTAACCCAGACAAAGCCCCTGGCCTCAAAACGAAAAAAGAACTCCAATCACGAGAGGGGAACAAGAACACGACACGAAAAGACTGGATTGGCATCAACCTCCTGGAGCGCCTCTGAGATGAGATGACTGGTGGCAACGACTTCAGGCGGGGGGGGCGGGCATCCAACTTGGCAAGCACATTCAACATCATAAGAGTGACACTGGCATCGCCAGAATCTGTGACTACTAAACGCTGCAGCGGCACGCCATTTGACAATCAGGGCCAAGGCGGTAGCCAGCATCGAACCTCCTTTGCTCGACCCAGTAACCTCCGCAAGAAACAAGCCAAACCGTGCTGGCCTCAGAACATGCGTCATCCGACCGGAGCTTCTAAGCTAGGAAAACAGCATGCTGTCACCAAACACCCTCCTCGGCGCCAGCACCGTCCAAGCGCTCAGCAGCCCTACAGTGGAGGCCCATAGACAAGAAACCTTCCACGAGAAACCCAGCCCTGAGACCCCAGGTCGTCCTTGATTATTGAACGCCACGCTTTCCATCGCAACACCATCGAAACCCAAGGGCGCCCTGGAGGCGAGCAGGCCTCTTGGTATAATGGCTGGGTCGCGACTGGCGCCTAGACTGATCCGAATTGCTGTTGTTTCACGCGTGCCTCTCTGCGGGCACTTGCTAGTTTAACAGGCAAGTCTTCGCAACTGATTGATCATAGTTGGGGCGAGCCCCTGGACCTCAGGGGCCCAGGCTGCACTCGGGAAAGCACTCGACAGATACATCCTCGAGGCATTGCAAGAGGCACGAACAAGCCCCAAAATGTTAAGAGCAGCTCGACAGCCCTTGGATGACCTAGTTTTCCCAATCTTGGCAGACCTGGAGGTTTCAATGTAGCGTCGTGACTTGGGCCGCTAGACGCAAAAGTCTGCCCAAATTGCGACGCCTGCTCGTCGCATCCCTGGCCCAGCCGTCCAGCCTGTGCCTGGTGGCAGCTGAGGCCATCAACTAGCACTTGGGCCACGCCAGAGCACACTTCCTCCTGCGCAGGCCTTGCAACAGGGTTCGCAGGATGATTGGGAAGGAAACGCTGATCGAGAATCCTGAGCCTGGCAAGCTGAAAGAATCATCCACCCGTTCCCTGAGGCGGAGTCCTGGGGCGGCCTGGCTGATGGCAAGGGTTCATACAGATACGACCTGGGCCTGAGACACCGCCTGGCGGAGCAGGAGGTGGAGGAAGAAGAGGATGGAGGCGAGGAAGAGGACTAGCGAGGAGGAGGAGGAGGAGGAGGAGAACGAAGAGGTGGCAGAGGAGGAAGAGAGGGAGGGAGATGGAAAAGGTGCAGGTGGTGGAGGAGGTGGGGAAGTAGTGGGGGAGGAAGACCAATCAGCCTGAGGGTCGTCGACGGACAAACAGGGCGTCAGCAGCAGGAGGAACAGGACAGGATGGTATGGGGGGGATGGGGGCATGGAAGGATGCAGAGATGGGACGACGTAGACAGAAAGATGAGAGAAGGTTAGGGAGGAAGACGGGGAACGTTGGAAGAAGAAAGCGAGAGAGAGGAGGAGGAGCAGGAGAAGGAGGAAGAGTCATGAAATCCAGAACGTGAAGCGGTGCCCTCCCGAGACAGCCGACAACCCCCAGCCTCCCATGAGGGAGCTGCGCGCACACAGGTGCCGAGCACACGACACGGGCAGGCGGGTCACCCCGTCGCCGGGACCGACCGTCCCGGCATTCCTATAGGCCTGCCACGAGATGTTCTTAGAACCCAAAAACTGTTACATTTGTTCTGAGAGCAAAGCCAGTGGTCTTAGAAGAAGAAGCCAGCGTGTCAAGACGAGCCAGTCCCGGCCAAATATGCTACCAAAAAACATCTCTTGGAGATCACAAAAAGGTTCTCAGAACATTGCTCGGCAGGCCTATAGAGTCACGCCGGGACGCCTCGCTGCTGCTTGAGAGGCACTTCCCGACCACCACCCCCGCCAAGGAGGAGGAGGAGGAGGAGGAGGAGGAGGAGGAGGAGGAGGAGGAGGAGGAGGAGGAGGAGGAGGAGGAGGAGGAGGGAGGAGGGGGAGGAGGAGGAGGAGGAGGAGGAGGGAGGAGGAGGAGGAGGAGGAGGAGAGAGGAGGAGGAGGGAGGAGGGAGGAGGGAGGAGGGAGGAGGAGGAGGGGGAGAACGAGGAGGAGGAGGAGGAGGAGGAGGAGGAGGAGGAGCCCCAGGGCGGAGCGGGCACGCAGGCCCCGTGGGACTCCAACGGACCGCACGGGCCCCGCCTCTCGACCGCCTGCACAGAGCCTAGGCCCCCTGCTGGCCAGCGCGGCTCGTGGCACCGTTGCCGCGGTCGCAGCGGGACGCCACGGCTCTGGTAGGGGGCCACATGCGAACCCTGCCCCATACCCCCCTCGGAAATCGTGCGGGGTATGGGGTAGGGTTCGCATGTGGCCCCCTATCTGGGCAAGGTGTCACGGAGCAAGTGCAAGAGAGAGAGAGAGAGAAAAGCCAGCATGGTTGCCCCCTGCCGTAACGCGCAGCTGACGGAGGAGGAAGAGGACCAGCGTAAACCCAAGGTGCATGAGCGATGTTGCAATGCACCCGCCCTCCAGGTTCCATCTTCACGGGTGCCTGCAAACGTGTATTTTCAAAATGAGAAATGACCACTTCTAGGATAACCGTCTGAGAGTCCCCGATTGAGCCAAAAAACGCACCTGCGACCTTGATGCCTCAACGTGACGTGACTGCTGCGTCCTGACAGTCCTGGATCGTGCCAGAGCACCATTCCTGGGACTTCAGCACCGCGAATCAACTTGGCTGTTGCTTTCTGACAATATTAAATCGTGCCATAAACCCATTCCTGGGACTTCAACCATACGAACCATTGAAACTGTCGCAAAAGTTTGAAACCAATGTGTGCGGCGCTGCTTAGGCGAAAGCCACATTCTGAAAACGAGCCGCCCTCCATCCTTGAAACTGCGGCAAACTTTGAACATGAACATGCGCGGCGCTAAGGTGAGAGCCACATTCTGAAAAGGAGCCGCCCTCCATCCTTACACAAACTGCAAGCTTTATGAAACGGATGTGCGCGTCGCTATGGCGAGAGCCATATGTTGATAACCACCCGCCCTGCGTCCGTGAAAACGTTGCAACCTTCAAGCTCCAGGATCATAAATGGTGAGGAAATCTCCAAACGAAACGCCGGGAACGCCCTATCGACGCGTCCGGGGGTGCGGCAAGGAGGAGCTGCTCAGAAGGAAAAGGATCCATCAGGAGAAGGATGGAGAAGGGAGGAGGAGGAGGGGAAGGAAAGTTGAGGCGAAGAGCACGCGAATCCCCGCGGAGACCGACTAAGGCTGCCGAGCCACTGCGTGCGAGATGGACTCGGGCCGTGCCATTCGCACATGGCCAGCCCGCGGCGCCTCCCGAGGTCTCTCCGCAGAAATTGGGTCCTGGTGCACACGGGGCCTGGACCCCAGGGTTTCCTCGTGGCCGGCTTCTCCCCCTGAATCGGTTGCTGCAGATCCTGGGGCCCAGTGGGTGCTCCAACACGGCGAAGAAGCTTCACGTGACCAGTCTCGAACTGTTCCCGATCCCTGAGATGGGCGAGCAAAAAGCGAGGACCATCTTAGGGACGTGCCCCGCGAAAGCGAGGGAAGCCTCAAGATCGGCATCGAGGTGAGGTGATGCCAAACACAGGGGTGGGGATCTGTTGCAACCTGGAAATAGTGACCCATTTCCTCCAGGACCCCGTTCGTGGCCAGGAGGGGGACGACGACGAAGAGGCGACGAGGGGACAAGGAGATGAAGGAGGGAGGAGGAGGAGGAGGAGGAGGAGGAGGAAAGCCACGGGCTGAGGAGGGGCCCGCCGCCGCGTGGGGTCGTGTCGTCCCCTCGTTCGGCCAGCCCCGTCAGCCCGGGCCAGCGCGCCGCGGCGCCATAAAAGAATCAAAGTTGAAGAGAAGCGCCGCGGCCGCGACGCCTAGGCTAAAGAAAAACGCCCGGGCAGAAAGAAGAAAGTTGGCACAGGAGGGCCCGCATAGCGCGGGGCCACGCCAGGACACTCCTGAAGGTAGTTGAGGCCTCCCGACTACTTGCAGATCATCACTCAGCCCAGCCCGTCGACAACATGGCGAAGAGCTGGAAGCAGCAGCAGCAGCGAGGCGCCTCGAGGGAAACGTGGTCAGGAGCAGGGACCACACACCTCGAGGCGTCTCAGCGCGGCGCTGGGAAAGGTGGACAGGAGAAGGGTCCACAACCCAGGCGCCTGCGCGGGGCTCAGGGGAAAGGTGGTCAGGAGCAGGGACCACACACCCTGGGCCCGCAGTGGGCGAGCAGCCATGGCCATGGAGGAGCTCCAAGTACCCCAGCAAGAGGTCCTGGAGCCGACCCGTTTCGAGGACGAAGGCCGCAGTCCACATCCAGGACTATATCCTCAGCATCAGGCAGCAGGCCATCGCCGACGCCGTGCTCGAGCTTCCATTCTCCATTTCTCGCGACCACGAGTCCTTCGGCCTTCCGCCAGAGGACCCTGACATGAGGAAACTGTGGACGAGGAACCTCCAGCAGAGGCTCGGCCGAGTTGCCGATCAGATCAGCGGCGCGCAATCCGCCAAGGTCGATGCCAGCAAGCTGATAACTGAGGCTCCGGTGATCAAGTGCATGCTCGCGATGTCCACGGATCCACACGCACGGCTACAACAATATCGGTCTCAGATCGAGGCGCTGGCAAAAGAGCAGAAAGACATCCACGAGAAGAAGGAGGCTCCGCAGACCAAGGCCGACGCCAACGCCCAGCGCACTGCCGACTTGAAGCGCCTCATCACGGATGTCAAGCTCGAGATTGCCGCCGAAGCCGACACAGACTGCGAAGCAGACCCTGAGGACGACAAGAAGCAGTACAAAAACAAAAGGGCCAACACCCCATTTCGCCGTCGCGCCAGTCGAGAGCCTCCTTCTTCGCGCTCGAGCAGGCCTGCCTCACCATCAAATACCATCGCAGAGCAGCTCAGGAGGAAAAATGAGGAGGCGCGCCGTGAAGGAAGGAGTCAGGCCATCATCGTCAACGCCGAGCTCCGCCAAAAGGCAGAAGAATACGAGGAGGAAGTTGACGCCATGCGCGAGTGCCTTGCCGAGATGAAGACGCAAAGCCGCGACAGGCTCGCGTGCCATGAGCAGGCGCTTTCCAAGACGGCCATGAACGCCACTGAACAAGCTATAGCAAGGAACAACGAGGTACTCCGCCGCCAAGAAGCACAGCAAGAGCGCGCGTTCCAACAGCGTGAGGCGATCGCCCATCAGATCTACGCCGAGAAGATGCAGCAGGAAGCGCAGAGGATGGAGAACCACGAGCGCGCGATCAGATACGACCTCGAGCGTCAGAAGCTCACCCACGAGCAGAAGCGCCAGGAGGCCCACTTCATGCTCGATGCCATCCGAGCGGAAACGGCTTCCCAGACCCGCATAGCATCAACCTCCGAGGAAGCAGCCCGCCAGCAAGCACAGAGCGAACAACTTCATCGTGAGTGCGAACGACTGCAGCTCGAGGGCCAGAGGATAGAGCAGATGAACCAGGACCTCCGCCTCGAGGAGCAGGCTGTACAAGTCATGGCGGCTCAGGAGATGCAAAGAAAAAACGACATCGCTGAGCAGATCGCTGAAGCCCAAGCAGACCTAAAGCGAGAGGAGATCCACCAAGAGCACGTATTTCAGCAGCAGACGGTCATCGCCGCCAAGAAACTCTTGGAGGAGCACTCCGCGGTCCAGAGGGAGCGAGAGTTGGTCTACCAGCAGGCGGAGCCCCAGCTCGAGGCGCAGCGCCACATCCAGAACAAGTGCGACCAGCTCGAAGCCAAGGAAGTAGAGCACCAACGGGCTACCCTGCAGCACCAGCTCTTCTTCAACGAGGCCCAGGCTCTCCAGCAGCAGATGCAGCACAAGACCGATTACGACCAGTACCAACGCGAGCAGTTCCTGGAGAGATACGGCCAGCACGAGGCAGAGATACACCAGCAGCAACAGATCGCCAACATCGAGCTACAAGCCGCACTCGCACAAAGACAATCACAGGAAGAGCATCACCGTGAACAGCTGGCCCGACAACAGGAAGAGCATCGAGTACACCAAGCGCTTCTTGAGAAGACCCTGCGGGAGCAGCTTGACAGCATCGCGCCCAAGATCGCCACAGACATGCTCGCCAGCGTCGCCAGCGCACCCATCACGGAAAACGAGAAGCAAAAGATGCAAGCCCAAGCCGACGACGAGGAGGCCCACCAGCGGGACAACATACGCTCCGCCCTCCACGCCATTGCCCCGTCGCACGAGTCTGACTACGACGTGACCCGTGAACCGTACTACGCCGAACTCGACCAGATGGCAACCCCGAAGATTGCAGAACTTCGTGGCGCTCCCTCATCATCAGGATCTTCGAATGGTTTAACGCCGCCCTTCTACTGCAGCCTCTGCAGGTCTTGCGGCAACTACACCAGCGGCAAGGCGGAGACCATCAGGTGCAGGCACTGTGGGAGCGGGAACATCGAAGACCACTCCGTGGATCACGGCCACAACGGCACGTACCCAGCGACGCAGAAGCTCCACCAGGTCACCAACCTGCACAACAACCCGCAGCCGCAAGCATCATCACACAGCTCACCACCACTCCCACCACCAGCGAATCCACCACCGCAACCAGCCGGCCCCTTCATCGACCTCGTATCCCCCACGGAAGTCGCTCCGACGCCAGTTGCGGGAGACGGAACGCCCCCGAAGACCCCGAAGACGCACGAAGGATCCCTGGCCGAGACATCCACACCCCTTCCCACACGACACGCAGAAGACCAGAGCTTCGACGACCCCAACGACCGCGACCTCGGCGACCCGACACACACTCCGACAGTCAAAGCATCGCCGACCCCCCCGACGAGCAACCGACACCAATTGCTCCCTGGGGAGCAGGCCCCTTCCTGCCCCCCCCCGACACCCATGGCCGCCCCCCTATAGAGGGCACAGTCTGTGCCGCTCCCCGACGATCCCATCTCCCCACGACCCTTCCGACCGACTCACGCACAGACCACCCTACTGAGGACTAGACTCCCCCCCACGCCCCCCTATTACGCTCGAAGTCGGCTCCCCCTTCGCACCCACCCAACCCTTTTCCCCGAAGCCACCTCCTGCACGATTCCACATTGCCACTCCCGACCGAGCCAGATCTGCACCACCATCGGCACTCCGCAGGGCAAGCACCCACAGCAGGCCTGCGCGCAAGGTCCGCATCCTGGACGACGGCGATGGTTTCGACAACCCAATGGACCGCAGGCGCTTCAACCCCGAGAGCCAGGAGGGCAGCTCGGGTTCAAGCTCAGACACGACAAAAAACTGAGCAGGACTCCCCCCGCCGGGGGGCGACTGGCCCAGCGGGGGAGTCCCACCACCACGTCACCAGAAGACCGGGCACCTAGCCCGCTCAGAGTGGCTATACGTAACAACCAGCTCGACGGAGCAACCACTGAGCCCCAGCAGACGGGCTGTGCGACCCGTGCGGTGCCAGCCACTCAGCGACAGGCCCAGATGCCTTTACAGCCACATGCCCCACTCGGGAGGCCGCCGACCGCCTCAGCGGTGTTAGCTCGTGGGTTAGCACACCGCGTGACGCCAACGGCAGCGCAACCTAGCACACCACAACCAGCGCCAGCGACACAAAAAATCAAAACCAATAAAAAAATAGCTTCAACACTACCAGCGAGTGGGTAATCTACTCAGCCGCGGCGCCTTGGGATCAGCGTCGCGACCCTGGCAGCGCGCAGGCACCATCAACCACGATCGCACCAACCGTCGGACCGAAGACCATCCCCTCGGCCGACAACCGCAGTGCACCAACAACCCCACCTGGGCGGCCAGCGAGGCCAGACGGGGCAAGCCCCCATCGACCCGACCGACCCGCTCTCCAGAGACGCGCCCAGCGGTGGGCGAACCAGGCGACCAGCCATTTTGGCCCAAAGGCGCCGAATCATTTATCTCCAGAAGGGCCTTCCGAAGAGCCCCACCAGGAGGCCCACCGACGACAGCAGCAGCAAGGACTGCAGCAGCCGCAGCAGCAAGGACTGCAGCAACCTGAGGAGCAGCACCAAGACTTACTCCACAGGCCCCCATTCGGCTGGACCTCGGAGACTCCCCGAGGCCGGCCTTCCAGCATCGCCATATGTTCCCCCGAGAGAGTCCCCCAGGACCTCCAACGGCCCACCAGAGGCCAAGACAGCCAACGCCACGGGACCAACAGCGGCGCCACTGCAGATGCCCTGGATGCGCCGCCAAGCGGCGCAGACGCCCAGAGGTGCCGTCGCAGCACCGCCCGCTCCTGCGGCTGCAAATTGCATAGATCCACGAGAGATCCACGACATCGAAGCTACATACCTTGACGCCAAGCATACCAACAGGGGAAGCGCCATGCAACCCTGCCGCTCTCGAGCCTCTGCCATCCCTCTACCCACAACATCGACGCACCTGTCCGATGACCAAGTACCGCCTCGCACCGCTGGCCAGCGTCCGCTACGAACGAGAGGGAAGGCCATCCAACCATTTAGAGCTACCAATGTCAAGCCTCCAGCACCACCCAACCAGCCAACAACAACACCTGCCACGCCACCCCCACCGCTGGAGCAGCGCAGAGTACACTTCGACGAGCGACCAACCATCCGACAAACGATACAGCAAACCCTACCTCCCCACATCACCTTTGAACTATGCGACGAGAGCCTCAACGAGACCGCCGACTACATGCTCCGTCACTACCCACAACGACCACTCCAGGAAGGAGCAAAGATCCATCTCTTCACGGACGGATCCAAAAACCCGAAGAAGCCGAGCGACGACGCCTGGTTCGTGGTGATCGTTGGTGACGACAACCTCGGCTTCAGCTTCCAGGGAGCCATCGTTGGAAAGCACAAGAGCGGCACCGACATCGCCCTCAAGGACGACATCGAGCACGAGACGACCTCCACGACCATCGAGATCACCGCCCTAATCTGGGCCTTCGCCTGGGTGAGACGCTACAACCCCCACCACATCACCACGATATACACGGACTCGCTCGGTGCCCTGCAGCTCGCGAAGAGGCTCGCCTTCACCGACCGCGACCCCAAGCTCGTCAGGACCCTATGTATCCTTTACGACATGGTTAGCCATAAGATCGACCTGCAGCACGTCCATGCCCACGACTACAACCCGTGGAACGAGGTTGCCGACGCCGCCGCCAACCACGGACGCCTTCGAGAGGTTACAGCTCCTCAGCCAGAGTGGGCAAGCGTCATGGACGGCGCATCCCACCGGGACTGGGAGTTCCTGGTCGACACAGACCCCAATACTCGGGAGGCGTACCCCGCATTCGTCAACGGCAGCCTCATAGCCAACAGGGTCGAGACGACCGCCGAGCCCCGACACTTGCACAACCCCACCGAGTCCAGCGACAAGAAGATCCAAGTCGAAATCAACATCGCGATCTTCAACATCCAGTCAGGCAGAGAGCCAAAGGAAGGATCGAAGAGAAGTAAAGAGAATACCAATAAGCTTAAGTCCACGAAGGCCTGCCTGTACGACGAGGACCTCCACATCATCGGTATCCAGGAGGCAAGGACGCCTTGGGGAGTGGCGCGACGCAGCACACGACGACGACGCCAGATGCGCCAACGCCAACTGCTACCACATCATCTCCAGCGGCCAAAGGGTTCAACTACGGCTGCGAGCTACACGCTCTGCTCAGCAAACCCCACGGCAAGAGCGGCAAAAGGGAGCTCTACTTCAAACCCGACCAGTTCACAGTCATCGTAAAGGACCCCAGGCTCCTTATAGTTCGGGTTGCAGCCCCTGGCTTCAACCAAGTGCTTGCCGTCGCCCACGCTCCGCACTCGAAGGCCCTCGCGACCGAGAAGGACCTCAACTGGAAGAAGCTCACGGAGGCCACCGAGAAGCACCAAGTGAGCATCATCTTCTTCGATGCAAGCGCCAGGACAGGTAACATCACCAGCACGGCCATCGGTGACAAGGGCTTCAAGCAAAACGAGGACCCCAACGGACACCGTCTTCACGAGCTTCTCTTGACCAACCACTTGGCGGCCGCCAACACCTTCGTCAGCCATGGACCAGAGCACTATACCTGGCACTCGGGCAAGGACCCTCACCGCATAGACTACTTCGTCACCCCCAAGGGCTACGACTCAATCGAAGAGTGCACTGTGCTCCACGGCATCGACAGCGGCCAGGACCCAGAGACCAAAGACGACCGCTACCCTGTCAAGCTGCAGCTTGCCTATCAGATCGCCTCGCCCGTCGCCAGAGGAGCCCCGAAGCTAGACGAGAGCAAGCTAGCCGACGAAGGATGCCGCAAGAAGTTTAGCCCAAAAAACTCGACGGAGTCCAACACCCGTCCTGGGACACCCATCTCAACGAGCACCTCGCCATAGTCACCGAGAAGATCACGGAGGCTGCGCACGAGTGCTTCCGACCCCACGGCCGCACTCCACACAAGCCCTACATCACCAAGCGATCCTTCGCACTTCTGCGAGTCCGTCGCTCGCTACTCAAGACGACGCGGATCGCCAGGAAAAACGGGATTGCCAGCCACTTCGGCGACAAGAGGCTACACTACACGGCCAAGCTCATAGCGAAGGAAGCTCTCCTGCCCGACCCCGCCGACGTGAGCGCGTTGGCCGACCTCAGCGACTATGATAAACTTATGGTGGCCTCTCTCATACTCAGCACTCCCAGCCTAGCGACCAGTGTCGTGGAATCCGGTGAAGTCAACACCGTGGATAGCGCCCAGCACTAATTCGACGCCCTCGTTCAATTCCTCAGGACGTCTAAGCCGATCCTCCAGAAGTGGATCACGAGAGATCGCGACGACTTCCTCGAGAGGACCGCCGACGAGATGGGCACAGCGATCGACGACCGCGCCCCCCGAGTGGAGGCCCTGTATGCAAAGCGACTACTGACCTTCGGAGGACGGAAGCCCAAGAAGCCGCCGACGCCCATCATCCGTACCAACGACGACGGGAAGCCCTTCACGACGAAGAGCGAGATCGCCGACCACGCCCTGGCCTTCTACGGCAAAGTTGAGCAGGCCACAGCCACGGACGCAGACGGGGTAGCAGCTGACTACAACAAGAGGGCCCGCCACGAAGGGCCAGAACCTAAGATCCAGAACGCAATGCCCAAGCACCAGCTGACCAGCCAGCTCGCCGCCGCCAAGCGAGGACGCCGAGGCGGCCCCGATCAGCTCACCGACGACATGTCCAGAGCCAGCCCTGAAGGGATGGCTCGTCTGCTCCACCCCGTCCTAATCAAGACCCATTTCGAGAGCACCGAGCCGATCGCTGCCAAGGGCGGGTACCCCACGTACTTCCACAACGGACAGGGGGCCATGGAGCTCCAGAAATCCAACCGCGGCATCCTGCTCAACAACACCATCGGCAAGATGCACAGCTGCTTCCTCCGCTCCCGCGTGAAGGGCCTACTACCCGAGCTCTTAGAAGCAACCCAGTGCGGCGCCCGACCCTAGATGGCCACTGACTTCATTACCCACACCAGCCCTGCCTTCATCAGCGATTGCCAAAGGAGGTCAAGATCATGCAGCACCACCTTCCTGGACCTCAGGGGAGGCCTTCCACTCTGTCATCAGGGAGTTGCGCATGCAATTGCCGACCTCAGCCGACGAGCTCAATGACCTCATCGAAAGAATCGACATCCCCGACTTCATCAGACCAGCGCTAAAGGAACGACTCCATCAGCAAGCCTACAACAACCAGAACATCGACGACGAACACCTCTGCCACATGCTCGCAGATCACCACACAATCAACTGGATGACAGCCAAGAGCGCAAGGCACGACCAGTTGCCTCGGACCAGCACCCGACCTGGAGTGCCTTACTCGGACGTAGCCTTCAACATCCACTTCGCCATCATGATGAGAGCAATCGACCAGGCAGCCCGAGAGGAAGAGGCCCACGGCCAGCAGATAGGTGGACACGAGATCGAGGCCTGCAGCGACCCAATTGTTTCGCCGACCCCTCACGAAGGAAGCGTGCTCAGGAACATGTCTTTCGTCGATGACCTCACAGACTACAACTCGACCGCAAACGCCAGCGACCTGATCAACACGACTACTCTGGCCGCTGCCAGGCTCTGCACAGCAGCGTTCCAGCATGGCCTGAAGCCGCACCCCGACAAGACCAAGGCCATCCCCATGCACTACGGCGCGGGGGCCACGAAGGAGAAACAGCGGATCGCCAAGGAGGGCATCACATACCTCGAACTGGACGGACTCTCTATCAAGGTGCAGCTAGTAATGCAGCAGAAAGCCCTTGGTACCATCATCGCGGCGGGCGGGGTCACGGGGCCAGAAATCTGCCCAAGGGTCAACCGCGCGCTCGGTGCAGCCCGGCCTCTCGAGAAGCAGATCCTCCGCCGCAAGAAGCTCTCGAAGGAAGCCAAGGTGAAGTACGTCAACTTTTTCTCGACCTCCTCGCTGACATGCAACCACCACGTCTGGAGCGACCTGACCATGAAAGACCTGAAGCACATATCCGCCAAGCACATGGGCCCATACCGCGTGGCAGCCTCGCCACCCAAGACCAACTCACCCGACCAGCACATCTCCGAAGCCGAGGCAATCGCCAAGACAGGAGTACCCGACTTCATCACTCACCAGTCAACAGCACGACTACGATACTTACCAAGGCTCCTGAATCACGCTCCAGCAGTTCTACTGCAGCTCCTCGACGGCCAGCGCCAACGAAAGGGCACCTGGAGCCGCCAACTCAAGAAAGACTTCGACTTCCTACGAACGCACCTACCACGAGAGAGGTGGCCCAGTCAAACCCAACACGACCGTGACATTATCAACTGGGCCCGACAGAAGCCGAAGTAATTCACCAACGCAGTCAAGGCAGCGGCGAAGGCCTACATTCACCACATTCGCGACCAAGCCCAGGGCGCCAAGCTCCAAAAGGACATCCAGATGATCCCCGTAGCAGACCCAACCGAAGGGTTCGACCTCCGCGACGACACCAACAACCAGAAGTACGTCTGCTACGCCTGCGGCCGAGTCGCCACCAGGCAAGGCATGGCAATCCATATGGGCAGGGATCATCCAGACCACGAGGACCCGCGCTTCTGGGCCACAGGCACCGCATGCCGATGCTGCCAGACCGAGCACCACTCTCTCCCGAGGCTCATCAAGCACCTATCGGTGGCTCACCGTTGCCGCAAATCCTGGCACGCCTGGCACCTCCAGACGATGGAGCCCCTGACGGAGCAGCAGATAGCAAAGAACTTCACCGCCATCGCCGAGGCCACAAATGCCAACAAGAAGCAAGGACGACATCCAACCTTTAGCGACAAGCCAGCCCACCCGTGCGACGTTACGCCGCTGCCGCTCCTCGAGACGTCGCCCGTCGTACCGAAAGTATTCGCCAGACTCGAGTCATCGCCAAGCAGCCCGCCCGCGAGCTCGCCTGCAGGACCAGCCGAGCGACAAGAGGTCGTCTTCATCACCGACCGCCCTCGGCAGGCTGCCGACCTCCAGCAGATCATGGCCAACAGCGGGGTCACGAGCGTCAGCGGCCTGGACTACACTCAGATCGCAATCCACGGCGACGGCCGGACTTCAGAACAAATGCCAGAACTTCGGCGAGTACAACGAAGGATCCTACACGGCGAGACAGCGGCCATCTCCGTAGAGTTCCCACGACGGACATGGTACCTACACGACGTAAGCGACGTTCTGGGCAGTAGAGCAAGCAGGCAGCGCACCACCGAGGCACCCTGGGGAATGCCTCAAGTTTCCGAGACCATCGCCGACGAGATATTCGCCGCCAACAACGTCACAAGAGAGATCCTGCGGATGCTCTTCGCGGCGACCACAACCAACGTCCCCTACGTCGCAGCCATCCCGGCAGAGTCGACCTGCAGGCAGACTCCTGAATACCAGCACGTCGCCAACCAGACGACGGCCTACGAGACCTCGACAAACCACTACGACCTCGGCGCCACACAGATCCTCGACAACGGCACCCGCGACGACCTCCGCAACGGAATGACCACGGCAAACGCAGAGGAGATCGACTTTGCCATCGCCGACCTGATCGATGGCAACATAGTGGCTAGATGGGGTCTCAGAACCGCAACCGTTGCGCCTACCAGCCAGAACCTGAACACCAACGATGCGTACTACATCGAACGAGAAGACGAAGTGCCGCCTCCTGCCGAGGACGACCGCCACGACGAGCGCATTCGACTACAAGCACACAGGCGTCAGGACGCAAGTCCTGAAGAAGCCCCGAGTGCGTGGGAACACCTCAGGCGGCGTCGCCAAGTTTTGCATGAGGCTTTAGGACGCAAGTCCTGGGGAAGCCCCGAATGCGAGGGAACACCCCAGGCACAAGTCGCCACGTTTTGTAGTATTGACGAAGGCAGCGGCCGTACGAGCGCGAGTTCAGCGGCTACCAGCAAGCCACACGACACACGACCTCCACTCTCGCCAAACACCACCGACCAACCACCACCCACGACCCAAACGACGGCATACCACACTAATCCACAAGTCAACGCTGCCCTGGTGAGGCAAGGATCAAACTTCGAGACGGGTTCGAAGGGTGGGGGGGCAGGGCGAGTACTGCCCGCGCCTACCAGGGGGGATGGTGAGGGGCAGGGGGGGGGGGTAGGACGGCCACTACCCGCGCCCCCGCGGTCCGCCCTAGCTCGCCAACCCCACCATCCCCATGGCGAAGGAGGTGCTTGCCCGATCGCCCAAGGGGCGAAGCTGAGGGCAGCCGAGACATCCCTCACCGACCACAGCGGCAAGCACCAGGCCTGGGGTTCGCCCCCACCGAGGGCACCCGTGACCCCCAGCCATGGCGGGACGAGGTGGGGCCGCCACGAACCCCACTTGAAGTCGGCGCATGGAGGCCTCACAAGTGCGCCCACAACCCATACCACAACCCCAGCAGCAATCCGACCTCCCAACGACCCACCTACAAGCACGCACGACAAGCAACCACAAGGTCTGGGGTTCGCCCCCAACCGACCATCCACTCCACCACCACCACCCCGCCAACAACGTCGACCAGCACGACTGAGTCGAGTACCACAGGTTTGGCACCAGTGTCAAGCAGTACCATGTTGACCAGCATGATTGACCTCACAAGTGCGCCCATAACCCACAACACAACCCCAGCAACAATCCGACCTCCCAACGACCTGCCTACAGGCACGCAGGACAACCAACCACAACGCCTGGGGCCCACCCCCGACCGACCACCCACCCCCCCCACACAATCACCCCGCCAACAACGACCACCACCTCGACACGACCTGCCCGCGGAGAGGAGGACAGGAGCAGGGTCCTCAGCAGCGCGGCGCGACGCTGCCATGACGGAGCCTGCTGAAAGGAGGACGGGAGCAGGGTCCTCAACAGCGAGGCTAGGCGAGCATGCCTGGAAGACGTCGAAAAAGGAGGACAGGATCAGGGTCCTCAGAATCGACCTCTGGCATGAATGTCCGCAGAAAGGAGGACAGGAGCAGGGTCCTCAGCTGCGTGGCAGCGCAAAGACAAACCACCCTCGCACATCCACCCCACCAACAACGACCATCACCCCGACATGACCTGCCCGCTGAAAGGAGGACAGGAGCAGGGTCCTCAGCAGCGCGGCGTGCTGAACCCACCACAATGACGACTGAAAGGAGGACAGGAGCAGGGTCCTCAACAGCTCTGAAGGATGTGATTGCATGGAGGTCGCCCAAAAGGAGGACAGGAGCAGGGTCCTCTGAAGCGGAGTCCAGCACGAACGCCTTCAGAAAGGGGGACTCGCCAAGAGAAGGAGGCGGCGCACCGTGCGCCGCGGCGAGGCCGTCCCCAGCCCTCGGGCCGAAGGGGGCACGGCCCGCCCCCCGTGTAACATACGGGGGCCGCCAGCTCAGCCGAGCTGCCTCGCGGCAAGAGAAGGTCGGGCGCCCCTCAGCTCGCGAGCTAAGGAGGAGCGTCCGTCGCAAAGCAGGTCGAGAAGGACGAGTTCGGCGCCCACCTGAGGCCGTCGGACTGACGGGCTACGCCGCGCCGCCCGTCGGCGCGGCACAGAGCCCTCACTGAAAGGGTTCACTGAAAGGAGGAGGAGAAGGAGGAGGAGGAGGAGGAGAAGGAGGAGAAGCGGAGCGGAGCGGCGCGCGCACCCTCGGTCCGACGAGCCGGCCATACGAGGGCAGCGCGGGCGGGCCGGGGCACGGAAGAAGGTCACGTGCTGACTACCTGCCAGACCACCCCCAACCCAACCCCGAAGACCCGAGTTTGAACCGAATTTCGGGTTGGGGGGGGTACGAGTTCCATGTGTTTTTCGATGTTCCCCGACCCCCCCCCCCACTGGAAATAGAGGGCGAATCGTGGCCTTCGGGTTGGGTTGGGGTGGTTTGGTGGGCGGTGACGTGCGGGCAGCAATTACATCCACATCCAGTGCGTCTTGGAGTTGTGGGCTCTCTTCCCCAGAAACCGGAGGCGCATTGGATATGGATAAACATCTGGACCCCAAAGGGCAGATATTCATCCATATCCAGTGCGCCTCAGCCTTGCGGCACCCCTTCCCAAAAAGTCCAAGACGCTCTGGATATGGATACAAGTATTGCCCGCATCACGCTGCGGGGTTCCCGAACTTGAACTGGAAGTTGGATTGATGCGAGACGGAGTAGGAAAGATCGGCGTAGACGTGGCACTTAGTTCCAGGAGCGGAGGTGATGAAGAGAAGGGAAGGAAGGAATAATAGGAGGAGGAGAAGGGGGGGAGGAGGAGGAGGAGGAGGAGGAGGAGGAGGAGGAGGAGGAGGAGGGAGAAGGAGGAGGAGGAGGAAAAGGAGGAGGAGGAGGAAGAGGAGGAGGAGGGAAAGGGTAAGGAAGAGGAGGAGGAGAAAAATTACAAGTGGAGGAGAAGGAAAGACAAGTAGGTTCCAATACTCGCAAAGTAACTACTCGCAAACGGCTTTGATCCGCCGCTGGGTATGTACGGTCCATTGCGTCGGTGCACACATATGTTGTTTGGAGGTTTGCGAGTAGACACTTTGCGAGTACTGGAAAGTGCTCGGCAACAGGATAAGGAAAAGGAGAAGGACATGGAGGAGGAGGAGGAGGAGGAGGAGGAGGAGGAGGAGGAGGAGGGGGAGAAGGAAAAGGAGGAGGAGGACGGGAGAAGAGGAGAACGTCGACGACGACGGCGACGAAGAGAATGAGGATGAGCTCGCTGGGCATGGCCTGGAGCCCCATGCCAGCGTCGCCGTCGCCGTCCTGCGGCAAAGTGCGCGAGACCGCAGGGGGACAGAAAGCGAAGGACAAGAAGCGGAGGGAAGAAGAAGAGGAGAAAGAGATACAGGAAAAGGCAGAGGGCAAGAGAAGGAGGAGGAAAGTGCCGGAAGCGGAACAGAGCAGGAGGAGGAGGAGGCGAGCCAGAAGGGGGACGAAGAGCAGGAACAGGAACAGGCTATCCCACGCAGCGGTTCCGAAGAGTGGGGGAGGAAGAGGGGCGAAGAGGAGGAGGAGAAGGATGAGGAGAACCAAAATCTGCCACGAAAGTCTCACAGAAGCTCCAGTGCACTCTCCCGGGCGGAGCTCCCTGTCGCACAAGTCCCCAGGAGCGCTCGCCTTCACCGCAGGAACGCCCCCTTGCAGGACAAGCGCCCACTGGGCCTTTCATGCATGCATGAAACCCGCCTGTCAAAAGGAACCGCCCTCCATCTGTTAACTCGACAGCACGCCAGGAAACTGGATCAGAACATTCAGGGGGGTGTCCAATGGGGACTGGTAGTGCGGGAGCCACCACCCAACTGTGCCATCTCTCGCGCTCTGCATAGACTGCCACACGATGTGCAACAGCAGCATCAAGCGATTGCCCAACTCATGTGTCTATATTTTCCCAACGGCAGCAGCGCAGAGACGTTTAAAGGGGTACGTATATGTCGTGGTAGTGCCAACACGCATGCTGCTACATACATATATACACACATATATATATATATAGATATATTCCTTCTACCTATCAAATTACAAGGAAAAACCCGGCATGTCACCGACACCCCCCCCCACATGGACCCCAGATGAACCCCACAGGCTCCCAAGAGAGCCCCACAATGCTTCGAGACGGCCCAAAATACCCCGAAGAGAGCGACACGAGGCCTACATCGGGAGCCCAAGACAGCAGAAGGCACTTCCGAGACGTCCTCTGCAAGGCCCAAGAGGCCCCAAGACGGCCCCATAGTGCTCCAACAGGACCAAACATGGGCTCAAGACTGTCCAGGATGCCCCCGCAAAGACCTCCAACACGGCCTCAGCAGGCCAAAAACCTTAATTTTCCATTTATTTTTGAACGATTCTGTGCTTCTCGCCTTTTCTGGCCACGAACGGCCCAATAATGATCTGCGAGCTTCCGAGGTCGCCCCGAAATGGCTTCCAGGCGGCCCAATGGGGCCCCAAGATGGGTCAATAAAGCGCAAAGAAAGCCAGGGAGCGCCCAAGAGACCCCTAAAAGACCCCCAAGAGGGCTCCAACAGAGTCACGGGATGCTTCAGAGAGGGCCCGAGAGAGCCCCAACACGGCCCCAGGACGGCCCAAGCCCCCCCAGACAGCCCACGAGGGCCCCAGGACAGCCCAAGAAGGCCCTCCGATGGTATACAAAAGCACCAACAGGAGCTCCACTCAGTCTTAGAGCCGTCAAATTCTTTACACTCTGATTGACCTGAGCGGCCCCCCCCATCGCCCCTAGTTCTTCTCAACCTCGCCCCAAGACGGCACATGAGGCCCTGCAGACATCCCCACTAGAGCCCAAGAGGGTTCCAAGATAACTCTCGGCATGACCTACTCGGACGTCCGACAGCCCATCTCTCGTCCTTCTCTACCTCCTCCTCCTCCGTTTCCCCCTCTCTGCCCCTCATCCCCTCCTCAACCTCCTTCTTCCCTCGAACTCGTCGCCTTCCTCCTCCTCCTCGTCCTCCTCCTCCTCCTCCATCGCCCTCTCCTCATTTGCCTCCACCGACTCCGGGATACGAAAACTGATACTCATTTTCTCAGGAGGTTTTCTCCTGATCCTCCTCCAGCTGCTCCTTCGAGGCTCTGAAGACATCCCCAAGAAAGTCCAAGAAGGTTCCAACCTAACTCTCGACACCAACTCTTCGGAAATCTCCTCCTTCGAGGCTCTGAAGACATCCCC